CTAAAAAAAGCTATCGGCACTGCAATATGGGCGGACTATTACTTCGGCAGTGAACGTGTTAATTAAATGAGTGTCTAAAAAGTTGTTAAACTAGTTGCATACTATAATTTTCCTAAGACAAAAACTTATTAATATCTTAAAAAGATTGAAATTAAATATTTGAATAGAGCGACAACTATAAAAAAGTGTGAAATTTGTATGTGAAAATCAAAATTTATCCCTTAAAAAAGGAATAACAACCCTTTAAATGATGATATATGATAGAAGCAGTTTTTCATAGTAAAAGTAAAGAAAATGTTATATGGTCACTTTACGGTGGAGTCTTTACCCGATTTTTTTAATGCTTTTTAGTACCGGCAAAATCAAAAGGTCAGAACATATTTGCATATAAACTTTTTGGTATTGGCGTTAATAAACTATTTTATACTTTTTATTTGTGTGTTAATAATTTTCACATTTAGTATTATTTTACAACAAGGGAATTTGGGAACCCTCTCAATTCTTATGAGAAAAGGTCCAAATGATGAACAACCTTTTGAGCATTATTTATTTTTACAAATAATGTTACCAAGCCCAAAAAAGGTTTTTGGCGCTTGGATCCTTTTCACTAAGCGTTATCCAAAATAATTTAGTTCTAAATTATTTAAGCCAGGACACACTACATTTATAACCAACCAATGGATTTGCTGCATTTTGCATTGTTGCTTATAAACGTAGATGCCTTTTATATAAAGAGTGTCCTTTGTACTTCATCACTCCAATAAATAACAAAAACATCAATGTCACTTATTTAAATTTACACTGTTCTAAATTTCATGACCAATTTAACACCAAATTAACACCATACGTGGTCTATATCGATACAAACCAAAATGGTGTTAAATAAGGTTCGTTGGTCCGGTGTCAATTCAAATACTAAAATGGTGTTAAATAAGGTTCGTTGGCGGTGTAAATTCAAATACTAAAATGGTGTTAATTTAACTTTCACACAGTATTAAAATAAATTTTACCTGGTGTAAATTGAACTCCTTTTCAGTGTTAAATATTATGTGTTTGTGGTCAAATTATCATACTACACAGAAAAAAGGAAAAAAAAAGGAAACAGGAAGTTCCTTGACGCATTACTAGTATATTACCAGTGGTATTATTCCAGAAAATGAAACCTTCAACTCGCTAGAGATAATGTTTTTAGTGCGTTGCACTAACTTAAAATACTTCAAGTATTGACAGCTGTTTCCACCTATTTAAGGTCTCTTTAGTATCGAACAACTTGTAGTGTCACACCAAAGCAAAGGACTGCCTTAGTTTATATATTCTTCATGTAAGTCAACAGAGGCGAGATTTAAGAACATCACGTGATCCACAAAAATATAAATACTTATGTGTCAACTGGGTTAAATGAACTATTCCTTTTTTTCTGGGTAGGTGCACTTCTCAAATATTTTAGATAAACACCGTTTTGGTGTTCATTTTCAACCCTAATTCATGGTGTTATATTAACACCACTTGGTGTTGGATTTTGACACCATGTTAGGATTACTTTTTACACCGCAGATATTTTAAACAGTGTATGTTAACCATAGGTTTTTTCATGCTTTTTAAATTTAAATTTTTGTTCGTCACTACTTTGATGTATTAATTTAAACACAATTCCATAATAGTTTATGCAATGATTTAAATTAATTTAATCGTTTTTCCTCTAAAACTATTAGCCCGAATATTTTTACAAGAATACCTTTTTCGTGTATAAATATTTTCGGAATAATTATTTTTTTATAAAAATTGAAAAATGTGTTGTGTAATAAAATTAGGTATAAATAAATCAAAAGATCCCCATTTTTCGTCGCCGTTTTATGCACTTTTTTTTACTTTTTCATAAGTAAAAATTAAAGGCATCCGTGGAGAATTTCCGAAAGATTTCCATCTACCGTAATAATCTATCTTCTATCTATTTTTATAAAAATGAATCGCAGTGCGTTAGTCCTGCAAAAACTCGGAAATGGCTCAACCGATTTAAATTTTTTTTTGTTTTGTTGGCCTCAATACAGGGGTGATTTAAATAAAGAAAACACTAGGAAAAACCGAAAGGAACAGCCGGAAAATCAAAATTCAACTTTGGATTAATTTGAATAGATGGCGTTCGTAGCTGCGCTTCAGATTAAATGAAAAAACATAACCACAAATTCACTCATTCAATTGTTTAAGCGAGAAATTAGTTTAAATAGTAATGTTCTCAATTGTTTAAATTAGTTTAAATAGTAAAGTTCTTAGGTAAGTTTGACAAATTTGAGGGACTGTGAAAACAATTCCGTGTAGTTTTACAGTGTTCAATGAATTGGAGTCGAAAGGTTCATAAGGATTAATAATCGGTTATTAAGAATTTTAGATGGAACGAAGTTCACCTAGTCATCTAGTAGACAATAACAATGAAATCAAGCAAAAACTTTTATCAGGAATGAAATGTTTTGAGAAAAGCAAAATCATTTTTTCTACGACCACTATGTAAAAGTCACATTTCTGTGTGAAAAGTAATTTTAACAGCTGTCAAACACGCTTTTGGGTTATTTGGTTTTGTATTTGAAAATAATAAAAAATAAAAGGGTCGTAGAAAAAATATTGTGTTTCACATGTGAGAAAAGCTTTCTTCAAGCTCGTGTTAATGCACACTCGGCCTAACGGCATCGTAACACTTGCATGAAAAAGTCGCTTTTCAACACTTGTAAAACAAATAACTATTGTTTAAAAAAAAAATTGAACCTACACCTCGCCAAATTTTTTTGTTTTGAATGCGTTCCACCAACTTCAGATACCGACAGACAGCTGTTTCGACCTATATTGGGTCTCATCAGTGTCGGGCAACTTGGTGTAGTGGAACACAATCAAAACAAAGGCGAGATGTAAGAACGCAACCGGGACTGCACACAGCAATGAATATGAATATGAATATTACCAGTGATTAGAGATGCGACTTGAAAAAAAAACGGTCCGTTTTTTTTTCAGGTTTTTTTCATTGTTGTTTTTTCACATTTTAGGTTTTTTTTCAAGATTAGTCCCATTTGCCTAATTTTTTATGTTTCCATGGACTAAAATTAGCCACTAAATGACAATTATTAAATGTAAATACAGTCTCGCGCTATGCACGCGCCACAACCACCGATTTGACCAATAAAGGCCGCGCTTGTATTGATTTGGTTCTAAAAAAAGTAACTACATATAATATTTTTGATTCAGCGCTTGATTTTTCAAAAAGCTACCAAAAGCACTTGTTTCATAATTTTTTTAAATTCATGTAGAGTATGGAAATTTTTTTTTCAAAAAAACAATAGCAAATTCTTGTAGAACATTTATTCATTGGTGGTTAAGTCAGAACATTCCGTGGACCAAAAAATAAAGCAAACAAATTTTATTACGGTATTCCTTAGGATTGAGCGTTGCACTTTTTTCATCTAAAAATCTCAAAACTAGAAACTTCAAGCTTCAAATTGCTTTTTTTACGGCTCCAATACGACCATTTTTAACAAAGATACAGCTATCCGAAAAATCGCAAAAAAAAATTTCCTTTAATTTTTTGTATTAGTGTAGAAGTTTTACATTGCTATTGCTAATGTGGAAACTACCAAATAACATTTTTATATAAAATTTGAAATTTGTTGATAAAGTAAAGTAAGTACCTATGGATAATAATAAATTGCACCAATTAAATTTATATTATATTTATTGGAGGCGCCATTGGGCCAGTATGGCCAAGCAAAAAGTTATTCACTTTATAATTAATATACATTTTACTCAAAATTTCATTTTGTAAAAAAACAAAAATCTATTTAATCTTTTTAAATATTGGCGTTAATGTAATACTTTTGCATTTTTGTATTGAAATAATATAATAATTTTCACATTTAGTATTATTTAAAGATTGTATGAAATTTGACGGTCAACTGTAAAACTAATTTTAGCCAGTGACTAAAAACCTGTTGCTAACTTCAGCCCGTGGCTAAAGCGCCATAAAGCCACAACTTGTAAATGAGTATTTAAAAGGTCACGATAGAAAATAATAATTAAAATTTCTTTAAACTAAATATATGTTTTTCCCCTTTGATATTATTCTTCTAATTTTTATCATAATATGTATTATCAAAACGAACAATTTATTAATTACTAATAGTTATTTAATAATAATAAGTTTTTAAGCATTGAATATTTTTTAAATGTTTAGGAAATTTATTATATATTTTTGCTACCGAGAAGAATACAGAATTTTTAAATTTAGCAGTTTTATGTTACTATATATTTCTCGACAAGTGTATTGATTTTTAAGATTATAAATGATTTTTATTATTCTCTTAAGAAGAACCACCCCACACACAAACGTTGTAAAACTAAAATGTTTTTAATATTAAAGTGGTTAAATTTTGTAAACCTTTAATTAAATTTTAAAGCAATACCTGACAAACAACATTGAGTGAACAATAAATTTTAATTAATCGATTTAAAAAGTAATATAAAACAAAGGAGGGCTTGCATATGAATTGGCTGTTTAAAAACGTTTTAAATTTCTAGACTCATTGTTTAATATTTAAAATATTTATCAAACGCAATTTTTTATTTAAACTTTAAATATTAAAGCTTTTTTAACAAAAAATTTAATACTTTTAAATTAATAAAGGTATTTTTTACTCTAAAACTAAAACTTTTTTGAAATAAATAAATTTACATATCACTAAATTTGCAATTGTGCAGTTAAATTAAATATCGATTTCATAAAAACACAATTTATTTCAATTTTAACACCGATATGGATAGTTGAAATATTTAAATCCAATTCGAATTTTACAATTCAAATGAATAAATGAACAATGAAACACTCTATTGGATGTAATATTTTCGATAAAATTGTTTTATATTACCAAACCAATGAAAAAGTGTAAAGCTGACACAAAAATATCGCACTCATTTCGACGCACCAAACTTAACCAACTATAAATAACATAACAATTAAATACCTGCGCTTGCACGGACATCGTGTTTGTTCTGTGACGATCACTAAGAAAGTGTTAATAGCTAGTGAAAGTGTTGGCGGATTCGTAACGGAACAAGGTGTGGATTAGCAATGCAAGACATCGCTTACATGTATGTTCATATTTGTGATCCCCACGGGTCACCTTAAGAGTAGACCGTAAAAGTCACACAACAATAATAATAACAACAAATTAAAAATTGTTGTTATTTTATAACAAGTCTTTTTTTAATAGTAAAGCAGCAAGTTGATCAATCAAGTAAGGCTGGAGACAAGGATGACAAATTATATTCTGATCAGAGAAAAAGAAACAAACTTTAGTTGGGCGTGGTTTAAACCAAGCCATTCGTAATTACGAACCATAGTTGCCAGGTTGTTTTAAATCAGAAGAGAACGATTATAATTATTTAATAAATAGTTCAATTTTATTTCTTTGAAACTTTAAAAATAACAAAAAAATTAATAATATGTCAAAAATAATTTGATTTAGTTAATTTTCTTACTTTTAATATTAAGAAATAAGAAAAACAACCCTTTTAGGAAACAATAATAGCATATGGCAACAGCGCGGCATGCAGCCAGATACAAGGGCATGCAGTTTGATCTACTGTGTTTGTTCAGTAGTTCCGACGCTGTCGTAGGGAAATGTGTATAGTTTTTAAGAAATACATTTTCGCCATTTAATGAATTTTAAACAATACTTAGTTTTTATTTGCAGAAATGCATTTAAACAAAACAAACGAATTCGATAAAAATAAAACCTATAAATTATCAAACAAAAATAATTCTAAAATAACGAAAATAACTTTTTTTCTAAATTAAATGTTCAAATAGACCACCAGCAGCAGTTAAACAATACCCTAGCCTATCATAAAAATTCCTGCGCACGTTTCAGGACTAATATCTCCCAATGTAATAAAGATTTGCACCCTTAATTCATCGAGATTATTAGCCCTGAGCTCTTGAAATCCATAAATTTTCGACTTGACGTATCCCTACCACAGTGGGCGGGGTTTGGCACTTGTTTTATTTAAGTGTATCTATTCGTTTTAATACACACTGTATACAGGGTTAGCCAAAAATCGCTTCTTTTAATAAAGCAAAAGCGTAACTTCATGATTTTGGCATAACACGCAAAAATATATATACCCACCTATGTTTTTTTAGATATTTTTATGTTTATTAGGCTACAAAATGGGATTCTTATGAAGAAAAATGATTTTGAATTAAATTAAATAAAATAACATTTTTTGGAGATAAATCCTTTTTGTGCATTATGCTTTTTACTATATAAAAAAGTGATTCTTGGCTAACCCTGTATAAATGTAATAATGTGTTCAGTATGAAAACAGTATTCTCCAAGTCTCGTTAACAATATTCTCTAATATTGTTCGGTGTACTCTGTCAAAGGTAAGATAAACAAAAATTTAAAAAAAAAATTAAGAATTTTCAAAAAATTTCAATAAGAGGAGTAAATATCATTTTAAAATTACCAAAGGGTCCCGCACTGCAATCAATAAAAATCGGTGTACAAATGTGTACTCTGGCAAAAGTAGACTTTGCGATAAACAAGTAATTTAATGATTGATTTTTTAACAAATTAAAAAAGATGATTTTTTAACAAATTTAAAAAAAAGCAGTTAGAATTTGGGTAAATATCGATTTTAAATCTCCAGCCGATTATATATATATATATATATATATATATATTAGGGTGGCCCAAAAAAAAAGAATATTTTTTTTCTCTTGTCTCTTGTGAAAATATGTTGGTTTGTCATGTTTTAAGAGCCCTGTCAAAAGATCAGCTCCATTAAAAATTTTTTAGGGCTCGCTCAAGATTTTTAAAAATTTCTAAAATCGTCAAAAATTGGATTTTTTTTTTATTTTAATTTTTTTTCTCGTTCCGATATTATTTTTTAATTTAAAATTAATAATGATTCTAAAAATTTCAAATCGATATTTTGATTTCTAAAGGTCGCTCAAGATTTTTTTAACTTTCAAAGTAAAGTATTTTGAATGTTTTTGAGCGACCTCTGAATATAAATATCAACGAACTTTTAGCGACCTTTAGAAATCAAAATATTGATTTGAAATTTACAGAATTTTTATTATTTTCAACCAAAAAAATAATATCGAGACGAGAAAAAAAATTAAAATAAAACAATAATTCAACTTTTGACAATTCGGCCATTTCAAGCGCACGAAACGCACGAATTACAAAACTGTTTTTATAAAAAAAATTGTAGATTATTTATTATATAATATTTTGGCATCAAAATTGTCAAAAATATTCTTCTTTTATTAGGTTATACATTAAATAAAAAAAACGCAAGAAATATTTTATAAAAGTAGATATAATTTTAATAATTGAAAGGTGTGGACGGGACAAAAAAAGATTTATCTTGTCCCGTCCATCCCCTGTCAATTATTGAAATTATCTCTACTTTTATAAAATATTTCTTGCGATTTTTTTTATTTAATGTATAGCCTAATAATAGAAGAATTTATTTGACAATTTTGATGCAAAAATAATATATAATAAATTACCTACAATTTTTTTTATAAAACAGTTTTGTGATTTGTCCCGTCCATCCGCTTGAAATGGCCGAATTTTGAAAATTTTAAAAAATCTTGAGCGACCCCTAAATTTTTTTTAATCGAGCTGATATTTTGACAGGGCTCTTACAGCATGATAAACTAACATATTCTTACAGGAGACGAGTAAAAAAAAATATTCTTTTTTTTTGGGCCACACTAATATATATATATATAAATATATATATATAAATATATATATATATATATATATATATATATATATAATTATTATAATTGTATATATATATTTTTACGAGAACAAACAATTGAATAAAATTTCCACCAACTTCAACAAAATTTATTTGTTCTTTTCAGAGGCTTTAAGCCGTAATTTTTGTTTTTCATACCTTCTAATGCAAATTTACTTATACCAGAACACATTGCAAACTGCGAACATAACCCAATTGTGTGTGGTTTTATATTGCGGCAATCCCCTTCAAACCGTAAGTTTTGTCATAAGGTTTAGTATAAATAAATGTATTTATGTGTATATTTAATAATACATTTTAATAATGTTTTAGCCTTATAATGTAATAAACACATATTTAAGTACATGTAAGATAACCTACAAATCTACTGTCATTTAAAATTTGCTATGTTGCCAAATTGATATAAATAAATCAACGTTTCTGCATACGGCCCTAAGTGAGCAGGTTTTTAGTCACGGGTTAGAGTTAGTTTTAAGATAGTTGTAGTAGACGTTGTCCAATGCCATACAAAGAAAATACAAATGTTTTAAATAGTTTTTAAAAGCCAATATTTAAAAAGTTTAAAAATTTCAAGACTTCATCGTGAAGTGCCCATAAGACATTATCTTCACTTTCACTGTGAAAAACTGCTTCGTTTTTCAAACTTAACACATAATACATTATAGTTTAGTAGTTAACAGAAGGTAAGTTAGATAATCTTGGTTTTATATGTATATGTATTATATTCGTGGTTCAAATATAATACATTCATAGCGATAACTCGAAAAAGGGAAAGGAATCTAAGAATATACGGTTCCATAAAATCCAAATACTTAAATAATATTTCCGGTCATGTTTCGTTTTATTGATTTCGCTATTTGAATTCGCATTTACATGCATCCCGTATCGGCATTTGTCGCCAACTTCATACCACACATTGCTGTGTTCTTACAACCGGTAATTCAAAAATATAAAACACTAAATAATAAATATTTTATTATTTTATAATGTTTTACGCTTTATAAATTTTGTTTTTTTACCTATTATAAGATTTCATAGAATATTTGACATGTACAGAGGAAATAAATTCCTTATTTGGGCAGCATATTTAAAATATTAATATTTGGTTTCGCGAAAATGGCGTTGTAACTCTTGACCACGCGTTAGGGGTGTTATTCTTAGAAGTTTTTTTTAACTTTAATATATTATAAAACTGTATAAACATATTTGAATATGTATCTAATAATATCTAAATAAATGTATTAGATATTTTCTTCTAACCTGCATAACATCGACACTTTTTAAGGAAAAATCCGAAATCCACGAACGATGTAAATTCATTGAAATTTAATTGTCGACGGTATATACGTCATTAAATGAAACAAATTTTGTTTCGATGCTAATTATTATTTTATTTCCACCTTCATAGTAAATGACATTTTATAGGTTAATTTTGTTGTTTTTGTATCCATGTAAATGATACATTATGGAAACAGACCTGTAATATTTTACGCACAGAAAAAAGGAATGGTTAATTTAACTATATTAATTTAGTTGACCCATATTTATTTAAATCAACTGTGGGTAGGTTAATGTAAACAAAGATTAGTTTGACGGTACTAAACCAGATAGTTATTTTATTTTTTTAAATTGGTTAAATTAACCCAGAAAACTTTAGTGAAACCAACCCGCTGTATGGTTCAGTTTACTAAATATGTTTTTTGTAAATTAAGAGTTACTTCAACCTTAAGCACTCTGTTAAAACGATTAAAACGTTTGCCATGTATTCCTGGTTGCATAGTATGTACCGATCGCGGCAAAGGCGGTGTGGATCATGTGATGTTCTTAAATCTCGCCTCTGTTGACTTACATTAAGAGTATATAAGGTAGTCCTTTGCTTTGGTGTGACACTACAAGTTGTACGATACTAAAGATACCTTAAATAGGTGGAAACAGATGTCATTGGTGGAACGCATCTCTAGCGAGTGAAGGTTCAAATTTCTGGAATAATACCACTGGTGTTATACTAATAATGCGTCAGGGAATTTCCTGTTTCTTGAAAAATATAAAAAAAAGGCTTAAAAAAATTTTCTACTCCAAATATTTCAAGATCTTATATTTTTATTGTTAGGTACTATGGCCAAGTTGTACCAAGGCGTTAACCTACACAGAACATAAGAGAATTAAAAGCGCTGTAGTCAAAAGTGGCAACAAGCATTGGTTGATTTTTAAATCTAGCAGCCTTGGAAAACCGAGTTGTTTTTTTCGGCGGGAAATTTGAATGATTGGATATTTGAATT